CTTCTTTTTTGAAATGTTTACAAGGTTTATGCAAATCTCAGTTCTATCAAGCAGTGTTTTCAGGTTTAGAATAACAAAGGAAAGTAGACATTATGCCTCGTAAATCTGTAGAGGAGTCTACATTTAAACTGTGTATCTGTAATAGCACAGGTGTCTAATCCTAGCTGGTGCATCTGTACAAGCGATGTAGTTCAAGCCCATAGCTGCTTTCTCCCTTCACTTAAAGCAGTTAAAGCTCTTTTAGATGAAATGTCTAAGACATCTCATAATAACTTGGAGCATGCTGTCTAGAGCAGTCACTTGTAACTGTGTGCAAAACCCCCGTCAGCCTGTCGATATTGTAATGAGCAAAATGGTACCGTCACTCCATTATGCATACAAGCCATTGGCTGGCAGTGTGCATGTCCCTCAGGCTGCAGCATTCATTAAGGGAAGCTTACCGGGCTGAAAGCTGGAGACAGATGATAACGGGATATGATTTTCATATTTAATACATTCCTTGGAAGAGCACACGCGTGCCGCAGATTGATAGAAGAATCAATTGCTACTTTAGTGAAACACTTTCTACTTTGCCCTGCAGCTACCGATGGAATCACTCAGCCAAGAAATTAACTTTTCCTCTTTTTTTTACCTACTTTGTGGATCTGCTGGGCAGGCTGCATGGTTTACAGTGAATGTTATTAAGCAGCTAACTGTTTGGTATTTAAGACGCTTATCAGAAAAGAAACAGAAGCCATGCTTTTTGTTATTATGTTTGGAGGGAGGCTTTTTTGCTTCACTCTCTCCCCCCCTTGGTGACATTGGAGACATGAATCAAAACTTGTCTAAAGGATTTCTAATAAGATGAAAAGTTAAAACATTGATCCTGAGACATTTTTCTGAAAGATGTTGTGAAAAGAATTCTGACCTTGGCCCAAATAAGAACACACAAACACTTTGAATTTTAACAAAATTGTAAAGTGGATAGTTAACATACTTGAGCTGAATTTCTTGACCTAAGCAAGACATGTAAAAATGTTAGAATTGTTTTTATGCCTATAAAAACATAATGGAATGGTTACCAAAAATGAATATATTACATATATTATTTATTTTCCTCCCATATTTGCAGGTTGAAACTGTGCATAGGCAGCACCAGGACAGCTCCCTCTCTCACCCAGCTAAGGAGTTTACACAACCACCAGCGGTAATTTTTATGGGTCGCCAGACCTCCAGAGGGTCTGACGCTGAAGCTGGCACCACAAGTGTACACTCACACCAAGCATTGCATCGTTCACCCAATCGCAGCATGCACTCCCGCGAACGTCTACCAAGTGGCCTTTTGAAGGACTTCAGAGTTGGCGGAGAGGATGCCGCCAGCAACCGAGCACATTTATCAGATGACATTTCAGGCTCAAACGATTCCCCTGACGGCTGTAATTTGAGTGACAAACATGAAAGAACGATGGCGATGCTCCCATCTGTTCGTGCCTTAATAGGCGCAGCTGGTGATGTGCCTTTTGGAAGTGATGATGAACAAGAACCGTCACCTATGGTGACCTTGACGGGGCCTGAGAAGAATCTGTCTCCCAGCAGCAGCAGCCCCACGAAGGCTAAGAATTCCCCTGCAGAACACACTGACTCCCGAGCGGTGGCTCATCATCAGCCACCTATAATGGAAGATGGAGAGAGAGGTCTCAGCCATTTAATGCCTCAAACTGCTTTTGGAAAGGAAGCTCAAGATACACCAGGTTTGCAATGCCGTTTTTGATTATTACCTTACATTATCCTATTATTGTTTACTGAAATTGGGTGAAGTTGAAAGCACTTTATTTTGCCCCTTGAAAGATTTGAAATAAGCGCTGTGTTTGCATTCAGGTAGATGTGACAGCGTCAGCACACCAAGCTCTGATGTGCAGTTGTCAGAGAGCAGTGCTAGTGACCTGTCCATTTCTCTTACACAATCTGAGCTGGATGAGGATCTACCAGAGGGTGTGGCATCTGAGAGGAATCCCACTTCTGGAAGGAGTGGAGATCACAATCAGCACAGTCCTGAATCATCCCTCCACACTGATGGGTCCAAGAACACACCACAGTTAAACTGTGCATCTTCAACTCCAGTTGTAACCTTGGAAAGGTACAGTATTTATGACTTCTGTACTTTGTTTTCTGGGCTTGTCAAAGTGCATCAATGGAGAAAAACACTAACATTTTGATTGCTTTATGGTAGATGCTTTTTTTAAAATGGGCATAACGCAGTCAGTATTTATTTCCAAGATTTAAAGCTAAGAAAGCTGAGAAAGAAGAATGTTCTGCACCGCCATGCTGAACCACAGAGGGCTGTTAGTGATAGGAGCGGGTGAAGACACCGTACAGTCATTGCCACCATCACATCAGAGGCTGACAGAGAGGATTGTGGGAGTCACGGTCCATGCCACCGTGCTCTCTGTAGCTCAGCGGCAGCTGCGGTGGTGGCAGTGATGCATCTTATAGGGAGAGCTCAGGACCTGTCACCAACAATATTGCCATAATCCAAGATAATGCTGTAACAGAGCAATTTTCTGCTTGAGAGACCTCAGGAAGTCCCCAATGGAGGAGGAAATTTGTGGCACCATAGAGTGTTCTGGAGGGTGGGCATGTGGACAGCACTTACAGCCACAAATCCTTAGCGTGATGATGGCCTCTGAGTTGAAGGATCATTTTGGATGGGGTTAGAGCCACAGAAAATCCCATGTGAATGTTTGCGCCCAAAGCCTCTGCATTTTCCCTACAATATGCAGTATTGAATGAACAGGACCTCTTATGCTCTTGAAAGAAGAAGAAAACTTTATTTGGTGTGTAATTTTTCTTCACCATATTCTCAGGGACAGTCCCAGTGTTAAATTTTTGTATACATTATGCTTGTAAAATTATTATATGCTTTAGTCCCAGTTGCAATTGCTCACAATAATGGTATTCAAAATACCCAGTATTTTACCGTTACTAATATTTTACTACTACAAATATAAAGAACCTTTCTGAGCATTATATGGTATTATGCTTTATTAAAAAAATGTTTGGTCTCTAGTACTATGAAGGATTTTATTTTCTTTCCGACTGTGTAGCATGTTTGTTTGTGCATGACTGTTTCTGTGTGGTCTACTATACTGTTATAGCGTGACCTCAAGAGGAACTGCAGTTAGCCTGTGCTAGGAGACAATGGTGGGGGCTGCAGCTTTCATTGTTAACACGGAGGGCTTCTGTGTATGAGGAGAAAACCAGAGGCTTTGATGTAAAGCTCCGAGAGCATCCAGTCTCTATCCTCTCCCTCTCTTTCTCTCGCTCTCTTAAGGTTAGAGTTTCTATCGCTCCCTCCATTCAGTTCACAGTCAGGAAAAAACAAGCCTGGGCAATTCATTAGATTATCCCATTATATTTCTTCTCCAGCATGGCTGGGGTGAGTAGAGTATACGACTGAAATATCCTCCAGGTTTTTTTCTTCGATCTCAACATAATGGCCTCACTGTATCCTGCTCTCAAATATGTCGGCCCTGAACTGCACGATGGTTCTGACCGATTGGTGACAGCGCTTCATACAATTAAAGTTGAGTTCTTAAAAATTCAATAGATGTTTAAAAAAAATCTGAAGATAATATAGAGGTTTTGCAATGTCATTTTAGGGCATCGTGCTTTTTTAAAAACATTCCTCAGCTGTGTCTATCTCTGGTTTTAAATAAAAGTTATTGTACATTTTCACACAGTACTTGGTAAACTGTGCTGTGCACACTGCAGCAGGACATGTCCCAAATTTAGTCAGGCAGTCCCTGCGCTCACTGTGTTGTTATTACATGTGGTATGTTTTCCATTCCTTTGTGTGTTATATTTGCTGCCTGTTCCAGCACAGTGAGATTCTTCTGACACCAATCATTCAACAGTGAGGCCATTCCGTGTGGTAAATCACCCTGGAGTCAGTACTGTACACTGTAGAGCAATATCGCTGCAGAGAGGGTGACCTCTTCCTCCTAGCTAACAATACTCTCCTGATGATGTTGACATGCGGACAACAGCAGCATCTAAAGTGAGGTTGGAGACCTTGACATGAAAGCTGGCAACAATACAATGAGAGAGAGAGAGGTTTGCAGAAAAACACAACTAATTCCCTCTCTAAAGGTCTCTTTTTGAAGAGCATTGACAAATAAAGTGGAAAGAGAAAGATGACTATTTCAAGGCCCACGCTGACGATAAGGGAGAGAGAGAGAGAAAAAGATAGAGCTTTTGCGTATGCTACTTCAGCCACACTGAAGAGGACTTAGCACAGACGGATTGCACACTACAGAATGTCATGGATATAATTCAAGCTGCCAGCTTAATCAGGATGTTACCAGGAAACAACCTGCAAAAAAGAGGGAGCAATTGTTTGCTGACCCCTAACCCAGGAGCCCATTACAGATTGTCATAAATTCTTTTTGGCCCCTTTTATGTAGGGGGGCTCAGGATCTCTCGGCTTGGGGTTTCTGGGAGAATTCAATGAGGGCCACCCAGAGCTTAATTCTCGAGAAAGAGATGGATTCCCAATATCCACATGCATTAGGCATCCATTTCTCATTTTGCAGCCCCACACAGGACCAGATTAAAGTATAAATCTCTCACCAAAAAGAAATCATCTTGAGGCCCCTCTTTTTTAGAACCTTTTTCCTTACACTTTTTAATGTCAGATGGTAGTAGGGGTAATGTTACAGAAATGTTAATATTTTCATTTGTTTATTTTTATAATCATATTGCATATTTATTGTGAACTTTATAATGCCATTTAACTGCATATAGGTAGGTATATGCAGTTAAATGGCAGTAGTAGTAACTAAACAGTAGGCAACTAATTCTACAAGCTCTAGTTTTGAATGCCAGCTTTCCTATACAACCTGTCATTACATATGGCACCATCAACAGACACACTTTAAATAGCTGAAGTTCTGTATTGTGGCAGTAGCATTGTAATGATGAGATTCCTCCGGCAGTCCTTGAGTACCTCAAGGAAATTGCCTGGGAAAATGTGTCACAGATTTGTGGATCAAATGGCATCCACTTTTTTTTTTTTTACAAATGGCAGGCCTATCGATCACATGGCCTCAATTTTTTTCCCCTTTCACTACATTAAGGGATAATGTTGTTTTTTAGTCTCTCCCAGGAAGGGCTCTTTAATCTGCTAGACAGCATCGAAGGACGACTCCATGGTGAACAGACCAGTGTGTATGGGGATTCTTCAATTGATGCAAGACAGCTCAATAAAATTATCAGGTATGCCCTTCCTCTATTTCTTCAAACTTTACCATCTTATCTCTCCCTGTCTAAAGTAAATACTGTGTATATTTATTTAATGGCCATGGAGCAGATCATGCAGATGAGGAAAACATATCCTTCTGCCAAGGGCTCTCACTTTAGATGTATGAAGTGTCATCACCAACATTCACACGTCTTTATTTCTGAGGGGTTTTCGAACACATGGGATTGCTCTAGTAACCACCCTGTTGAATTGTTATTGGGAGTCAGGGAGATGGAGGATGGAGAATGTGTTTCATTAGACTGGGCTTATTTTTCATAAGCCTTTTATATTTCATAGCATGATTATTTTACCATAATTGGAGTTCTTGTTGTAAAGTACGGATAAATGTCTCGCTAAGGAAAGCTTTCTCCCTCTTTTTAAACCCAGTATATACTTATCCCCATCTGTGCAAATACAAGTGCTGGGAATGATGTCAACAACATCTTCACTAGTAAAAGAGCGTGGCCATCTTGTGTCATGACCCTCAGTATAATGTTTCGTCTTGCTGTGATATTATGTGAGCAAGTGTGTATGTACATTGTGAGTGATTATACTACACTATGTCTGCGTGTGTGAAGTGTTCCTGTTGGATGTACTCCATTTACTCCTGACCCGCGGGCTGAGCCCAGGGCTCCATGGCAATAGCTGACTGCGCTCTGTATATTGGACAGCCTTTGTAACGCTGGAGCGGGCTTGAATCACGAGGACCTTGAAGCATGTGGAGCAGTCATCCTTCATGAGCTTCAGAGGTTGTCATGGAGCACAGAAAAGGGCTGCCTGCTACCACAGGATATAGTGAGTGCTCACCAGCTCAGCACTGAGCCTAATGAAATAAGGTAAGGCTCCTGGTTTCTCTGTAAATCTAACGCCACAGATCGGTGTCACTGGTTTTTTTTTATTTTGTAGTTGTGTTTATTTCTGTACTAGTCATCTACATGTGTTACAGTATGATACATTTGTAACAAACTGCAACTTCAGAGATATCGTGGAAAAAAAGAGAAAGCTATATAATAATATATTGTTGTTGTCATGATATAGTGTAGTGTAGTTTAATATAGTGTGTGTTTTGTGTTTTGTTTCTACTCCTGTAATGAATAGTGCTATAATTGAGTAATTCAGAGCACATATATCAATCTGCTGAAAGCTACAGGTCAATAGACCTTTCTTTGCTTTTCACAGAGACATTGAACACACTTACAATAAAGGTGAATTCCACTTTTCAAACCAAGAGTGGATAGCTGCCTGTGCATTTTCTTCTTCTTTTTTTTTCTGGCCAGACAGTGGGGGAGGGGGCATGCACTTAGAACAGTCGCTGAGATATTTCACGCTACCATTCGATACAGTCTTCCTTGTCCACAAATGTAAAGGTCATCTGTGGTGTCACCTTGTGCAGTAACACTGCACGGGTGAATGTCATGAGTAAATTAAAATGCCCTATCTGTGACTTTCAGTCCTTTGGATAATGAGTAGTTATACTCTGAGCCAAATCCATGCTCTGCTTCACTACTCTATTGATTTCACTGAGACCTTCCCTGCTATATACTCAATCCAAAGAAATACATGTCCCTTCCTCTGAAGATACCTATTGGCACTTTGACCTTTTATCCAGTTTTCAACCAGGAGCTATGTTGCTGTCTGTGTCTATTTGGTGTTAACTGGATTCATTAATGATCTATATCTTATAAAGTGTTTTAAGATGGACTAACAAGCAACCTTTTGAAAGTGCTTTATGAAAAAAAAAAAAAATTAGTAAGCTACCTCTATTTTACTGATAATCAAATAATCTTTCATTGTAAGGAGATACAATTTTGACTTATTTACAGATCCTACTGTGTATTTGATAAGAAAGCCTGTCTTTCTCTCCCACCCCCACCCTCACCACAGCGCCAGCCTCTCTCCTGATGCCGCTCGGCTGTGGGATCGCTGGTTCAAGCACACCCTCCTGCTCAAGGAGCGCCGTGTCCTTAGCACTGAGCGCCTGGTCCAGCTGTTCACACCGCTGCTGCTAGAGCGCCATGCCACCTACAGCCACCAGGTAGCGTTGGAGGCACATACACTGCCACTACACACACAAATGGGAGGTCACACACTTGCATTCACTGGCACCCAGTCCCAAAAGCAAGCGGACATTAACACACACATGCAGGAGCAAAATGGCTTCTTTTTTTTCATCGTTCCAAAAAGGCTAGTGTTTTTGTTTCTTTGCATGTTTTTTTAGAAGAGAGCTGTAGTTGGTACTGAGTGCCCTCTTTGTGTCTGGTGTTTGAAACCAAGCCCCGGCTGCCTACTCATCAGATTACTCCACACGTTGACCTAGACAGAAGGGAAACCCTGACCCATGCGCTAATCGCAAATTACAGCCTCTGCTTGGCTTCTTTCATCTCATGTGGCGTATTCATCTGAGAAACACTTGCTTTTAATTTAGCATTAGCCAAAAGTATAGCCATCAGCTGGGTCCGATTGAATGAGGGAGCCATTTGGACTTTCTCAACAATGGATGGGATTATTTTAAATTTCCCACTCATTGACCTTGTGCAGATCATGCTCAATTAAACAAAGAAAGAAATTACAATTAATATTCACACTTAGAGCCCAAAGATAATGTCACGAAATTTGTCAGGAATCCCAAAGCACCATTCTATCTGCAGGAATGATTATGTACACATGCAGGCTATTGTGTTATTCATTTTTGTGGACTCATCTTGTTGGGGTTCTTGTGGCTTGGAGATCTTGCTCCAGGGTCCCCGACGCAATGAGAAACGCAAAGAGGGGAAACTGTAGAGCCTCTTGAAAATATGAACAGACAAAAGGAAGAGAGGCACTGCCATCTACATCATTGTGTCCAAGTGCATCAGGAAAAGCCTGAGTGAAAATCTTTCTCTCCCTTTATCTCTCTCACTCTTACTCCATCTACTCCATCTATTTCTCCCTCCGTCCCTCTATTTCTCCTTCTCTCCCTTTATTTCTCTCTCTCTCCTCTCTGTCCTCTCATACAACAGCTTACTCTCTACACACAAGAGCAAACAGAAATTTCCATTCACGTAATGCCACACAGCCTGGCTACCCCGACAAATGGGAGCATGCAGCCCGCATGCACACACTCAAAGAGGCCCTTTGAATATTCAAGTGCTAACAGTTGCATTCATTGATATTTAAAATGCAGTGGGTCTGCGAGAGCCCTCAGCCCACGGTACATTTGACTAAATCTAAAAAAAGAACAAAGACAGATATCGGGGACAAGGATCAAGACAGTTTTTATTGTGCAGCAGCATCAAATACCAAGTGGCAAGCTCAGATTGGCATGTGTTTGCCTCTTCCCCTCTCAGAAAATGAAAGCATGTACATTGTCAATGTTCAGTGCGACCTACTGATAACAACTTACAATGTACTTAAAGTTTGTCCCTGTCAAAATCCTCCTGATCATCCCCTCCATATTAGTGCTCATTAAAAGTAGCAAATGGCCATCTGAGGCTGAGAGGCAGTCTTTGATCACAAAAGAGAGATGATGATGGCAGGATTTGATACGGGGGAGGGGAAAAGGAGAGAAAGGAAATCGGTGTGTGGCATCTCCCTGCTCCTCATCTCCCAGAACAGCTCCTCTTAATTGTGTATCCTCATCTCCCCAGAGATAAAAAATGAGCTGGAGAGGGAGGAAGAGAGTAGTTTGTCTCAATTCTCTCAGCCAAGAGGGGAGATATCTGGAATGTGTTGCACATTAACGCCAGGGTGATTGCATTCTTTAGGCGCTTCTCTAATCTCATGGATGAGAAGAGAGAGGGGGGGGGTGTGATTGAGAGGGAGAGCGGGAGCGAAAGTGTGCGAAATAATCTTTTTTTAGTTAAACGAGTGAGAGAATTTGAAGTTATTTTCTCTTGCCGTTTGAACACGCACTACAGCTGCACCTCTGTGCGAGCAGCCATGGCCAAAGTAAATGACTTGCCTAATCGGCGAGAGTTCAATTTGACACTTCCTTCACAAAATGGGAACAATTAAGAGTGTGGTTTTAATTTGTGCTGCTCGCAGGCCAAAGTGCTGCTGAGGACACTTGTGTCCCGGTCCAGTGAGGAGTGCCCCTCAGCAGAGGACGAGAGTGACTTGTCTTCTTCATGTGGTCCTCCTTCTCTCCTGGCTGACGGTGATGTGAAGCCCGCCAGGCCAGTACAGAAGCAACAGATCCAAGGTTACTGAAGATTATCACTATGATTTAAAGTAGGCATGGGGAAATTTGAATTAGACTACATTATTTGAATGCTGGGTTTTGGTTATTACATATGGAGGTATGGCTGCATTTTCTAACAATCAAAAACCCAGCCTCATGCCTACAGCATGTGTTTTGGTCTTGTTACGATTGACAGTATATTCCCAGAAACGTCCAAAACATTTCACACTGAGATAAGTCTGTTTTTGCCCAGTAATATGTAACAAGATCATTAATAGGTACAAATGTTAGACTACTGCTATTTTTTCCAAACCACCTCTGCAGAGAACTAAAACTTCCCTTTTATAAAAAAAAAATCAATTTCACTATGGAGCTTTTTTATAAATCCCTCACAGCCCAGTTTTCATACAGCCTTCTATTCAGAGCTAAAGAAAGACCCCCCATTCCCATTTCTATCCCTAAACTCCCTTCCTCCCTGCCACTGCTTCTCACTATGCGCTTCCCTTTCTTACAGAACTACAAAGTACTGAAGAGGACAGCCAGGACGAAAGCCCTGTGGAAAGTGTTCCTATTAGAGGTAAAAAGGCATCGCCGGTGCCCCAGCATTCACACTGTCCTTATGTTGTGGTTTGTTTTCTTCCCACTGCAGTGAATAATGGGCTCTTTTACGCAATGGCTGAGACAGGATGATCAAGGTGAATCCAGGGTCAAAGTCCCACCTGAAGAGCTGTGCTAGTTCTCCCTAATTATCTCCGAGAAAACACTAGCTATGTTTTCAGCTTGGTCTGAGGCATTCTGGCAAAATTGATAATTCACTGGTCCGGTATAATGCGGCTGCTTTAATTGTCAGGACACCAGGGTGGGAAGCGCAAGAGATCTGTCATCGGTTCTCATTATCTTCTAAACAATGCTCTGGCGAGGCTGGACTTGAAGAAATACTAGATGTGAAGGCATCCTGGAAGCAGTTGGTGTGCCCATCCCTAAGCTGCACCTCTGAAATGTAAAGCAATCCTATATTACCCTTGGCTATCAGATTTCCTACAGGGCGTTTCATGTGTCTGCATCCCTAAGGTGCACAGCCAGCAAAATGAGTCCAGTTTCCACTCGCTACACTTAATCAAAAGAGCCATAACCAGTAAAAAAAAAAAAAAAAACATGACTAAAGATTTTTCAAGGAAAGGGTTTTGCTGTGGTGAGCAACATCAATGTCGCAATCAAATACCATGACCTTGGAACTGATAGTAATTGCCAAGACATGCTCGTCTTTATATCTAGTGGGGTTTTTTTTACTATATGTTGAAACAACGGCTGTATAAAGTGCTGTAGGTGGAATAACACTGGAGATTGCCATGCATTGTAAATGTCATATATATTTTAGAAAATTATTAAAAGTGGTACTTTTATTATGAAACCCAGTAAAAAATGTTAGGACTTGGTCATACAAGGTAACAAATTAGCTCTGTCCTTTGATTTAGTATGTCTATATTTTAACGACATCATTGAGACAACAGCCCATTTATTATATACTTCTGCTGTGCTAACTTTTGCCGGCGCACTCTCTGTGCTCCTTTTAAATATGATACCTATTTTATTGTGCGGGAAAGTAATTATGAGTGTTTTTAAAAGAGAGAATCAATCATTGCCTTCCTGGTAGGGGATGCTGAGATAATGTGAGATACTGATTGCCGTCTCATGGAAACTGTTGCTACATACTGTGGGCTAGAATCAACAGGACAGTGTTTTCATCCACTCTCACATCACACCAAAAGACTCAGCTACTGAAGCGTGTTGTCTCATCAAACACAGAAACCTCTGAAAGTTGGAATACTGGGTTTTAAGCAAATATTTGACCATGACTTTGTGTGTGTGTGTGTGTGTGTGTGTGTGTGTGTGTCCCTGAACAGAGACAAAAGCATATCAGTTACTTAAACAATCAGCCATGCAGGAAAGACTGCAGAGTTCTGAAGAGGAGGAGGAGGAGGACGACGACAATGGCCTCTCAGGTAAGAGATGCGGTCCACTCTACCTGCCAAGTAGGGAGCAACTGGAGCCTAACCATTGGTCAACACTGGCCATATGTTCTCACACCACATGAGGACGGTGTTAGCTAATTGACAGTCAAAGCTCACAGCCATTAGTCCAAGTTTTCTCAACCATGATTGGCTCATAACCAATTTTTTTGTCCCCAAACATTCTCAACATCTCAGCAAAGATTTTAATTTCTTATGTGAATTTAAATGTGTGGCATATGCATGATGCATGGAAGGAACTCCAAGTGGATTATAAAAAAATGTATAAAGAAATATAATTATCAGTCCTCTCACACGACCATGTGTGCATATCAAGAGACCCTAACACCAAGGTTGACATACTCAGTGTTAGCTTGTCATAAGCCTTATAAGTTTCTATAATAATATGCATTGTAGATTAGCTTATGATGAAATGTCCAAATCAAATGTTTTTATCAGGCCCTGTTTGCTCTTTTAAGGAATAAATCATGGCCATGAAGAGGACCTGGGGAGGGCCAAACGCTCCTCACATCAAGACCCTTACCCTCGGTAAGAACATTGTTATTATTCAACGGGCCACAGGAAATGGGCCACCAGACACCAAAGTGGTTGATGTACATTTGCATGGCCACTCTCATAATTCCCTGTTCATTTCCATAAGATCAAGGGGCCGCCACCCATTAACTCGCTTACAAAGACAAAAGGCCCCAAAAGCCCCTCTCACTCACTGTTCACTGGGTTCAGCCAGGTTTTAGAAATCAAAAGCAAAACAGCTACCACAAAAAAAATAAATTGGAGTCATAATATCACTGTCTTCAAGCTTGTTGTCAGAATGCAAACAGATCATGTCAAGAAGAGAATCAGGGACAACTGTTTTGGAAGAAGGGGACTCAAGTGTTGACAAGGACAAATGTCCTTTCATTTTTACCCTCGAAATGCATTTAGCCTGCTCAAATCAGTGCCCTAAGTGCGTTTGAAAAGAAGATCTAATGATAAATAGCTTGGTGGAAGCTAACACCATCACGGTTACATTTGAATATCAACACGACTTCATCAAATCTGCAATTGCATGTCGGGTCCTCAGAGCACCTCTTCACTGCGAACCCATTTGGGCTGTAGTAATGGCTGGGTAAACGTTATGAGGAATAATCTTCTCTGATTTCATGTGATTACTGGGCACCATGCTGACACAAGGGCTGAAGTCTGTATCTCCCTGGCCTGGCAAGCAGGCGCTCCCAGTCTGCCTATTAGCCCAGGGAAGGGCCTAATGGGCTGGCTCTATTGTGGTCCTCATAGCTGCTGATGTCTGCCACTGCCAGCCCCAGTGACCACCCTCTTTAATAAACATGAGCCAATTTTGGGCCCAGACCCTCTCAGATGGTGCCTGTCATTAATGTGCATGGGAAGCCCACAATATCTGTGATTAAACAACATTTACAGAACAAAACAAATTAGACCAAAACAGAATGTTGTGAGCAGTGATGAGACACAAGTTGTGTAAAAAAGTAAAATTGGGCAAGTGGGTTATGCAGTTATTCGTGCCTCATAGTCTAATCTCATTAGGGTTAGGAAGGAAGCAGCGCCAAGAGCTGTCACCATGACCGTTATCCTTTCCCTGGTCATACAACAATTTCCCCTGTCTTTTCTTTGCTTCTCCTGGACGCTTAGATTTAAGCATTCCACTTACCACAGTCACTTCTTGCGCTTTATTGCTTCCACAAGTGGTCTAGAAGCCCTGCACTTAAGCAGAAGCATAACACTGCAGCATGCTCTTGCCCTGCTTCTCTCCTTTCTCTATGTGTCTCACTCTCTCTCTCTCGCTCTCTTGCCCTTTCTCCATCTCTTTGCCCCTCTTCCTCTCTGTCTTCCTGTATCCCCCCTCCCCTCCCCTCCGTCCTACTTGTTAATTATTTGCTTTATTTTGTCAGCGAGCTGATGAGTGACATCAAAAGGAGGATGGAGCTGGACTCAAAATACAAAAATGGCTTTCTCTCTGTTGTCTTAGACAATAATTATGATTTGCCAGTTAAGCCTAGACTACAGCAGAGGGATTGTAGTTTAAAGCAGAGGCTTTGGTGCAAAAAATGCATTTATAGCCCTTTGTGAGGCTCCTCATTATGTGTGGGCCCGATTCATTAAGTAATTGGTTTGCAGTTGTTTACATGAGTATTAAGGCCTTCTATTCAGGGCCTTTGAGAGATACATTGTGCAAATGTTGCATGTTATGAATGCAGAATGAGAGGCGGGGGGCCAGTCCTATTGGCCAAACACTGCACTCGGCTGAAAAGCGAGAGAAAAGCACTGGGTGCTGCTTTGCATAGCAATGACTAGGGCCTTAATAAGCTTTACAGATTAAATACATGCAGTCTATACAAGATGCAAAGAGATACTCTTAACACATTTATATGTGCTCATTTCACTATTATGGCATTTGAGAGAATTGAGGTCTTTCATATTCTTTTTTTTATCTCTCTCTCCCTCTCTTCCGTGCTCTCTCCCACACAGTGTTTTTCAGTCAGATACTTTTATAGAATGTGCTGTTTATTGTATTATAACTCGTGGGGAAGCGACTGATTTGTCCATTAGAAATCTTTTGCTGTCTTTGTGAGTGGCAAAGTAAAATCACTTTGTGGTTGAGTGGGGATGAAAGGAATAATGCACGAAGGAGTGAGTCTTAATAAGCAGCTGCACTCCATGTAAAGACCACTTGTTCCCCTTTGTATGCGAGTGCATGCCACTGCTTCCTCTCGTGCAAAGAATCATTGTGCTCCTTTCTACTGTAGGCATTTCAGATGCCACTCCTTTCTTATTTTTATTTTGGGTTTGTTAATACGTTTTTATCCACCCCCCAGTTTTTGATCCTAAAAAATGCTTGAACACAGGTACACACACACACA